TGGTCAACCAAGGGAGCAGTTTTACACCTTGACTCAGCTGAAACGGAGCAACTTGAGGAAAGATGATCAGCTGTAAGTATTGGATGATATTGTACAATCAGCTGATAACGTGTCTTACACTGAACCCTGGTGTGTCTTCCAGGCTGATTATTGCATGGCGTTGTGACATAGCTGTAAAACCTCCAACTCTATTATAACACTCTAACCACCAGGTAAACATGGGGACAACCTTATAGCCAGGGGCGTTTCTACGACTAAATATAGTTGTGGGCTGAAGGGAGAGCGCAAAGCGCTGAGTCGTTAACTAGGAGGTGGGTAGTTGGGGATGGGGAGTTGGGGGCATGATCACCAGTCAATTTTGCTTTTATTTATAATTTTAATTTATATAGATATGCAATTTACTCCTATTAATTGACACATCTTGTAACAAATATATACAAACGCACTGGCTGGAAAATTCAACATTCATTGTATATATATTGTAGTTGGCAATTAGTTGACATATTATTTGATAGTTTTCAATCGTTACATCACCATAATAGCTGTTTTCTGCATCTGTTGCATTTGTGATAATCCAGATGTTCAGGAATAGAATTCTATAATTAGGAATACTGTGAATGTGTCAGTATACGTACGTTTGGCACCTAATTATTCGTCTAGATTTATTCGTCTAGAGTTTCCTGCGCGTCTTCGTGTGCGACTCAGATCAAAATCATTTCATGACATCACAATAGTCTATTGTTTATCTTCATCTCAAATGAAGTCAAGGCATCTCTTTTTCAAAACAGCAAACTCTTCGATGTCTCTGTGCACACATTTGGGCGATAATTCTCACTAGTACACTGATATCCAGGCACGGAAACATATCTTAAAACATATGAAGATATCTTAAATTTCTGTATAAGTGTAGGTGCATGCCTTTTATGCCTGTACGCAGCTACGCCCCAGCTAGGGGTACGGAAAGCCCAGTGGTCTAAGGCCCTGCAGAGTTACGTCCCTTTGGCTTACCAGGCTCCTTGGTCGTGGGTTCGAATTCTAGATTCGCCTTTATTATGATCTCTGGTGTATCAGCACCACCCCCTTGCTCAGAGGTGTCACCAGACCAATTACTTTGGCCTTGTCGCCCACAATTAGCTGTGACGCCGTGACATAACTGACATACTCACTCACTAAGTCTGAATATGTTTTTTGATTGTGAACATTTTTTCAGCATTTTTCCTTTTTTTATTTTTCAGCATCCCTCGCCCACAAGACTCAGACATGGGGTAAGCATATAACAGTATGGCTCTGAATTCAGGAAAGAAGGATGTTGCGGCATACCTGACGTTAAACCATATTTTCAGTTGTCCATCTGAAAGTACATGATACCCGTGAAGATTCCGGGGTAGAATAGGTGTTCAGCAACCGATGCTTGCCGTAAAAGGTGACTATGCTTGTCGTAAAAGGCGACTAACGGGATCGGGTGGTCAGGCTCGCTGACTTGGTTGATACATGTCATCGATCCCAATTGCGTGGATCGATGCTCATGATTTCAATCACTGGATTGTCTGGTCCAGACTCGATTCCTTACAGACCGCCGTCATATAGCTGGAATATTGCTGAGTGCAGCGTTAAACAACAAACAAAGAAAACCAAAACATATAAATGTCAGAATAATCATAAAACAAAAGGAGAAATAAAATTCAATAATACCATTAATATCTGTGTTGTTATTTCCAGGAAGGAACTCATCAACCTCCCCTTCCCCGCGGAACACCCCTACACGTCACACATGTCCCAATTTGCCGTGTTTCCCAAATTTGACTCCCCGGAAGATCCCAAAAGGGGCGTGGCTGCTAGGAGTCAACAGCCAATCAACTCCGAGATGCCAGCTTCCGCGTATGACGTCACAATTAAACATAAAACGAAAGGTATAATTCTAAAGAAAATGTAGTATCATTTGTTAGAGCATTGACTGTTGATGGATGGATTTTAAGCAAATGCGATTACACAAAATTTTGTATTCAGAATGACAAGACCACTGGTCAAATGTGTGACCACCTGTAAGTGGACACTGGCCAATAGAGACATATATACGATGACATGGTAAATGAAATCAATCGCTATTTGTCAGCAATCTGTCTGTATCCTTACATGGATATTTCGGTTTGATCCGAGTGAGGGAGGGAGGGAGCGAGCCAGCACCAATTGTATCAATATTACAGCAATATCACAGCGGGGGACACAGAGATGGGCTTCACCCATTGTACTCATATAGGGAATAGAACCCGGGCCTTAGGCTTGACGAGGGAGCGCTTTAACCGCTAGGCTAACCGCCCCCAAACAACAAGAGATTCTAATAAGGCCTTAAGAACATAATGTAGTCCTTCGTCAGATCTTCATTAAAAATGGCGGCAATCGTTCTGTAAACGTCATCCGAGGCTTAAGATTGCGTTTATCTTTCGCTCATACACTTCGTGATATTTAGGAGAAATCGATTTTGGGCAGAATCTCATTAATGTTTGTTTATATTGTAACATGGAGATTTGATTACTCATAAAAGTTCGTTGTGATCAATATCCTTTCATTTAAGACATAAAACATCGATTTCTAATGAACACCTGCGAGAGATGATGAAGCACAATAGCATGAAGCATCGGGAGAAACAATGATCGTCTGTGGTAGTGTGTTCATCATTCTTATAGATTGTTTCTTATTAGGGATACTACGGTCCCAGTGACGGTAGGGTAGCCTAGTTGTTAAAGCGTTGGCCGCAATGCGGAAATCCGGGTTCTAGTCCCGACAGAGATAAGACGTTTGAAGCCCGTTTTTGGTGTCAACTCGCCATGATAGGGCAGGAATATAGCTCTCAGACTGTACTTGAACCTAGTCCGCGAGTGCGCACGAGTGACTGATTGGGTTTAACGCCACTTACAACAGTATTCCAGTTACATCACACTTTGTCAGCTTAATGTGGGAGGAAAGCCCGTTGTGATGCAGGTCTCAGACATTTACCACTTTGGTGAATCATATGAGTGCAATAATCACTCACTCACTTGTTGTTTTCGAAGTTGGCTGTATTTGCATCTTGGAGATACAAGGCTCGAGAAACAAGGAGTTAAGGCTACTACTTACATGTACGTCGTATGTACCTATATCGTGGCATGTTTGGAATTGCAGGTTATGGAGACCGGTACGAGATACAGGCGCTGCCTAAGGAATCGGAGAAGAAAGCTCTCTACTGGCGCGGTGAAGATTTTTTTGATCAGGTAATTTATTTCAAGAAACTGTTAAAGAGGTTAATAAACTGCTGGAAAAAATTATATACTCTTGAAAATTGGATTTGACCACAAATTTATAAATGTTATTAAAACAGGCTAACAACAGTCGCTGAAAAAATGCATACTTAAGGTCCGAAACACAACCATGATACCAGTAGCAAATACATAAACTATTTCTTGTTTGTTTCGTTTTTAGCCACCATAAAACATGGATGTATTCTTTCTTTTGCCCGCCAGTTTACTAACATGTCTCAGTTTCCGGGGGCGGTCGGGTAGCCTAGTGGTTAAAGCGTTCGCTCGTCACACCGAAGACCCGGGTTCGATTCCCGACATGGGTGCAATGTATTAAGCCCATTTCTGGTGTCCCCCGCCGTGATATTGCTGGAATATTGCTAAAAGCGGCGTAAAACCATACTCACTCACTCAGTTTCCGTCTGTTTGTCAACTAAGAAACATATCAGATTGATGTCACAATGTCTTTCGATTCAAATTGACCACACCTATAGCTGAAATGTCGAATTGTTCCAACTGTAGATACCAACATTTATAATAAAACTGTCATCCTCATATCAACACACTACGCATATAATATCATCCCGAATTAGTACGGACAATAACGTTCCTTTTGTCAGGATTACCAAATTTCCGAAATAATAAATCATGGTGACACAGTAAATGCTTTTTTAATTAAATATTGACGTATATATGTTATCGTACCCGACAGCGCGGACGTTTCTCCCACAATGATTTGTGTTTGTTCAGGACTATTGTTAACAGGTCACCTTGCTATTTTCCTGACTGTGGCATTAAATATGCATTCACGGCCTTATGTTTGCAGCTAGTCAAGACACACGGGAACCGACAACCATATTATCCGACCCCTCCCAAAGTCATTGCACCAAACCTCCAGGATCGACCAATGGACATGAAGGTTTCAGACCGTACGGCTAACACACTGAGAAATGTCGAACGATCTCATTGGACAACTAGTCACAGTCTAGATTATACAGGATTAGGGCCAAGCAATCCCCAGAAACTGGAAAATCTAGACGACAAGCGAGTCCGTTTCCTTGACACCGGCCTCGAAGACGATAAACTGGTGAGTAAAAAGCTGTTGCGTAAACTAATATATGTATAACCTGACACAAATACACAGCGGTGGCTAGCCCCTGGAGTGACCTAAGTGATGACCAATGCCCATCTATGACCTGGCCAGTGGCATAGTACCCTGATGTCACTATCTATTACTTATCTATTTACAAGAAAGTCTTTGAAAGGCATTTAGAAGTGATACACAAAAGGAAGAGAATTTATGGATGTCAACTTCTTTATTATGAGGAACACAACATTTCGGAGTATGTGCATACTCCTTCATTAAGCAGATGGTCCAAAAAAAACTGTCTCATCGTTATGGCAGGGCTAATGCTGAATTCGCTTCGTAAAACGAGCCACAATGTTATCTTTAAGACTAATAAATCAGTTGTATGTGTTTTTCTTGTTAAGCAAGTACTGAAATATAAAGGCTATTATAGTTAACATGTGTCTACTAATTTGGAAAAAAATAATGATTGCAATATTTTTATATTTTCTGTTAAAGCCTGACGTATAGTATGCCACCGATCTCTATGAAAGCGATCATACTGTACACTGAATCTGTTTGTTGCAGTATCCACGATCCAGCAATACCTTTGATCCCCCGCGGCCAATGGAAGGCCGTATAGCTCGGATGTTTACTCCAAAACCGGCCAATCAGAAGATGATAGAGAGTGGAACACCCGTCAATCCCAACTATCAAAGGTAAGTCAGCATATAATGAGGTGCAAAATCATCATTTGCGTGAAATGAAAGGATGAAAAGTGTTAATAATCCACATGTGTAGCCTACATGACTTTGAATATGCTATCTCCATGAAAAACCTAAATACAAATACATGTCTGGATTTGCTTTTATTTGAATCAGAGAGGACGGCAATTTTGAGATCTATAACGACGCCTTTCGATTTTACAGAAAGATGACTTTGACCGAGAAGGAAGAACATCGCCTGTTGAATGGCCAGGCCTATACAAACATGCCTGACAATGACACTTTTCAAAGTGATACTCTCTGGAAGGAGATGGACATGAGCTTCAAACCCGAACCAGCCCTTAAGAAACTGGAGGATCTGAAGGCGACCCAAGAGGGCCAGGATGTGCCCTACCCCCCGACAGGTGCCCCTCCCGATCCCGAGGAGAGCTACTTAAAAAAGACAAAGGATGATCGGGATGACGAAATACAGCAGATGGAGGCTGAGAACAGATGGCACCTATTGGAGTTGCAGATACCAAGCAATGACATCACCTTGCTGAACGTGAAGTATCAACACGCTACGGATAAGGAGAAGCCTCAGACATTCTATGGCCACGAAGGTAAATACAATGAAGAACGAGCTGGGTTGTACAAGACAAGCTACAATCCTCAGAGGCTGGCATACTCCATGAACAACCTTACAGAGTCAGGGCCGGAGATAATGAACACGCTGCACTCCCACATCGGGGCTGAGAGAATGCCAACAAGACTAAGTCACGACAACGATGAAGCTTTGAGGACAAGCAGGACACTGTGTACAGCGCAGGCCAATCTCAGTGGCGACAGAAGGAGTACTGAGGAGGTTCTTCAGCCGTACCAGTTCAGGAAAGAAAACCAGAAGCAAATGATCCAGCCTAATGAAGTGACAGCGAGGCCGCTGGTACAAGAGGGTGATTTTCTACTGAAGGAGAGCACAATGGGAGACAGCTATAACGTCCACAAGTTCCTCCAGGAGAATGAACTGCCAAGACACGCTAGGAACGATCCCCAACAGGTCATGTCTCGAGAAAACCAGAGACTTAGCAATGTTAGAAGCAGGTCGGGTACTAGGACTTCAAAGAGCGTTCAGTTCTCGGATAACGTTACTATAAGAACTGTCGTTCCTGACCAGCCAATCAGGGTGGAGACCGCACCTGCAGGTGCTACACGGCCTAGGGGCAGGAGTCAGATGCTGGACAACGATGTGACAAACACGACCCAGTACGTCAGTCGCCACGCTCTGTACAGTAAGGAGAACGAGAACCCTATGGACCAGTCTCAGACACCGAGACACAAGGTCATCTTCCGGGCCGAATTTGAACCTTTGAAAGAACTGACGACGACCAAACAGGACATTTCCGTTCCGGATAGAAGCTTTAAGAGGAGACCCAACGCTTCATCCCTGTCGGAGTACAAAGATGAGTTTGGGAGTCTGTCCACGAATTTTATGCCATCGAATCTGAAAACTACCATGGCTTTTAGGTCATCATACGAAAGTCAGTTCCCGACCTTCAACCTGGACTTCAAAGACGATTCCAGATTTAGCTGGGAGCCCGGATGTGGGGTGCCACGCCCACAAACCTCACTTCTGAATATACAGAACCGGTTTAACAGGTCGGCCGTTAGGCGCAGCTTCCATGGAGACTTCAGAGAAGAAGCTCCGGATCTGAGGAAAAACATTTCCAGTGGGAAGAAACATAATTTCTCCGGCTTCAATACTCAGGTTCTTCATGGCTGATTGACGTGTGGTGGTGATTTCTGCAAACAGTGTAAAAACGTCCCCTCTGTACATCTATGGCAGTATGTATGGTCAACGTGTACTATAATGATGATCAATACGTTGATTTACTGGGACATGTAAATAATCACAACTTTTTGAATAAAACATCCATCGGCATAGGATCTCGGACACGAATCAACATGTATCTAGTGTCATAACTGCTGGTTTGGGGAAGGCGAAAGCCATACATGACATGGTGAAGATGGTGAAGATGGTGAAACGACTTCCTCAAGGTTCTCAGCACTACAATCTGGAGGTTAATGAAGGGATGTACACAGACCTGCATCAGTTCATTATTGCAGATTTTGTCCCGAATTTGTTTCGTGGCTTCTCAGCACCATGTCGTGCTCCTGGGTTAAACCACAGTGGTAAACATCTAAGATGTGCATCACTTCGGGCTTTCTTACCACGTTAATCAGACACGCCACTGGTATACTGTTCAAAGCAGCGTTAAACCCAACTCACTCACTTATTCATGCAATTTTCACAGTATTTAGTATCATGCCTTCAGTATTAATGTGCTTATTGCGTTTTTTTCGCGACCCAATTTTGCAAATAGGTCATGTTTGTAAGCTTTCCATTTTTTCACTTATCACAAGTCTTTTTTCGATGTAAGTGAAAAATTAATGTGGAAAGAACAAAGCAACAAGAAAACAGACCGGGGTCTTAAATGTCTGCCCAGGGTGGAAATCAGTTATTTGATTATCAATGAATCAAACTATCAATTGCATTTACTCAACGTTTCTTTTAAAAGAATCACCAGCAGTATTATCAGATGATTAAAATCATTTCATTTTTCCATAATGGACATATGTAATCATAATTTTCTGTCGGGTAAGATTGTGAATGAGATCGTTTCAATATTACTCCCGATGACAGCTGTCTCATGTTGTTTACTTTGTTCATTAATAAGGATATTTCATGTAATTCTTTCTGACTAACTGATGACGACCAGAAACTTACGAAAACGTAATGAGAGTGATTCATAAACACATACACTCATGTGTTTAGAATCGTACAATGGTCTCTACTTTTAGTAGAGCTCTCTTATGATTATTGAAATGTTTTTTGTCGTATTTTCACAAATGCAAATTTCTGTTCATAGTTGCTACCTTTGGTTACTAAAGCAAAAATGCCTTCCAAAAATGTAATTATTTTTAATGGGAGAGATTAGCAATACCAAAGGGGGTGTTTTAGCACGAAGAAATTGTGACTAATGGCGGTAGCTACAAAAGTTTTTCACGTTACCGAAGGAAATTTATTCATTTTCGGTTAATGCTATTTTTCGTCTTCGAGCTATGATTTCCTTTAAACAAAGACGATTTCTTGTTGTTTAAGTTATTACGATTGTGTATTATTCCCACGAATGATGTGTTGTTTGCAATGTTGTTATTTTCCTATTTATTGTGATGCATGACGATTGGACCACGCCAGTATTATATTATACCTGCAATCGCGCTATAGTGAGGTGATGTGAAGGGTGTTTCAGCTCCAGTGTGTATGAAACAAATATACGAGTTCAAACCGCCTTTGTGACTGAAAATGTTCCATCTACGATCTGTAAATTTTGAAATAAAAATCGTTCTTTGATGGTCATTGTTTGACTTCGCAGTCTTTTCTAAAAGTCCGAATTATAAGTATCAAACAAATTGGTTAGCAAACATGAATTTGTTTGACCCAGGTTCAATTATTTACATACCTTAAATACTTTAAAGCTATATTATTAGAGATGCGGCGTAAAACAACAAGTCATTCGCTCACCTTATTCATGAGGCGAGGCAGGGTGGTAGCATCGTGGGTAGAGCGTTGGCTCGTCACGATGAGGACCCAGGTTCGATTCCCCAAACTGTATGTAGTCCATTCTTTGTATCCCCCGTCGTGATTGGCTGACATGCTGCTAAAATCGGCCTCAAACTCAACACGCACACTGACTCGTAAATGAACATGGGGAGTATTGGGGGCCCAACTATGGAGTCGGGTTCCACTGGAAGCGCTCGTTAAATCATTAATGTCGTCCTTTCAGTCTGCTTTAGTAATAAATAGACAAGGCATGGCCCACCAACTAGTATGCTCAAGAGAAATAAACGGATCCGATAAATTATGAGAGGATTACCATGTGAAGTTAAAATAAAGTGCCTTGCAAAAGAAAGTATACACTTGAAATTTACCAATTACAAAAGTTATCATAACGTTACCATGGTGAAAATAGTCGCCGAAGCACTGCAAACGTAAGGTCCAAATCACACTGAAACCCGTGTCAAATACATCACCATCAAATAACTATTTCTTATTGTTTAAGTTATAGCCACCATCAAACACGGGTGTATATTTATATTTATATAAACACACGCAGACACAGACACACAAACACACACAGACGCGCGCGCACACACACACACACACACACACACACAGACACACATAAAACAAGAAGTCATTCGCTCACCTTATTCACAAGAAGAAGCAGGGACGTTCATTAAGTCAATCACTTGATTGTCTGGTCCAGACTAGATTATACATACTATCATTCTTAAATTCTGTTTTAAAAAAAAACGTATTCTCATCTCTCACAATCGGTACTTAAACATTTTTGTTAAATTACGAGTCAGTGTGCGTGTCCGCAACACGTCCGCCATATCACGACGAGGATAGCTATATATTTCAGGGTTCATTATTTGAAAAAGAGGTTATCACACGATAAATATAGCTCGCCAAGGCTTTCCAAATACGACTTTTATTCCCAATACATGATAATTACCATCCCAAAACACTCGCGTGATAACCTCCATGCATTAGTGGTATTACAAGATATTTTGATAATTTTGGTCGGGGTTAAATTTAATTGACAACAATAATTGAAGGCTCAATGATTACACTCGCTTAATGAACAGACAGAGAGATGTATTTTTCCTTCGAAGATTACGTGAAGACCCAGGGTTAAAACCAGTAATGCATTTATTGTGTTAGAAAAGGTGACAAGAGCTCACGTCGACTATCGAATGGAGTGAGATCGATAGAGCGCCATTATTCTTCATTAGTGAATGAAGCGCCCCTTAAATATTCATTTCGTCGTCCCCGGAGCTGTTGACAACGAAAGGAAAGGAGCGAGCACGCTAAACCCGCGTGTCCAATATGCTTGACCAATCGTGTTTAGTTTTATTCCGTGTGTTATTACTAGTCAAACTGGTATTGACGAATGGTGTTTTACAATTGTAATAAAAATGAGCAATCGAAAAAGCTCTAAAGCGATCAATTTTCATTGCGAGTACTTTAATTATTTTCAGTCGCGTGTTGGAGCTAAAACACCTCTTGCGCACTGCGCCATGAAATGGATTAGCGAACGAACATCCAACTGTGCGTCGAGATTGCAGTGGGTTGAGGTAGTGGTATTATACGCAACATGTGTCGATGAAGTTTCGGGATGAGATTCCGCTCTCCGTGGGTTCTAATCAACACTGGTGCTAAACATGGATGTCCTGCTAAAAGGGCTTGTGGGTGTGCCATGGGAGATATAGGATGAACTTGGAGGCCCGTTCACCAGTCCAATCCATTCTTGCACCAGTAGGCTTGGTAACCTCAAGGTGTACATTGACCCACTGGCCATTCCCTGATGGAGTGAATGTATAGTAAGGTTTTTCAAAGGGGGAGTGTGATTGTAGATGGGGTGGGGCGGGAGTTTATATTGTCCAAATTATAATTGTATTACCTTCAGTTGTTTGTTGTTTAACGCCGCACACAGCAATATTCCAGCTATACGGCGGTCTGTAACTAATCGAGTCTGGACTAGACTACCCAGTGAATAACATCATGAACATCGATCCACGCAATTAGGATACGATGACATGCATCAACCAAGACAGCGAGTCTGAGCACCAGATCCCTTTAGTCGCCTTTCACGACAAGCATAACCGCCTTTCACGGCAAATATGGGTTGCTGAAGATCATACTGACCCGGATCTTCACGGGTCGTTCACCTTCTCTCTATGTGTGGGGGTGGGTGGGAGTTGTGGGTTGGGGGCAAGAGTATCTTGACGCAACAGGCAGAGTCAGTACTAATTCAGTAAAGCCAAGGTGACCGTCCGCCCGTTTTGTCTGGGGTTTAACCTACACTGATAAAGCCGGGTTTAAGCTGACACGATCTGTTACGTAGTGCTACATAGTGACACGGGATGAGGTCGGACGTTGTAGGGGTCATCGTGTGGCTTCTTGTCAAGACAGGATGGTGTCGGACACTGTAGAGGTCATCGTGTGGCTTCCTGTCAAGACAGGATGGTGTCGGACATTGTAGAGGTTCATCGTGTGGCTTCTTGTCCAGACAGGATGGTGTCGGACATTGTAGGGATCACCGTGTGGCTTCTTGGTCAGACAGGATGGTGTCGGACATTGTAGGGTTCATCGTGTGGCTTCTTGGTCAGACAGGATGGTGTCGGACATTGTAGAGGTTCATCGTGTGGCTTCTTGGCCAGACAGGACGGTGTCGGACATTGTAGGGTTCATCGTGTGGCTTCTTGGTCAGACAGGATGGTGTCGGACATTGTAGGGTTCATCGTGTGGCTTCTTGGTCAGACAGGATGGTGTCGGACATTGTAGAGGTTCATCGTGTGGCTTCTTGTCCAGATAGGATTGAGTCGGACATTGTAGTGGCCATCGTGTGGTTTCCTGTCCAGACAGGATGGTGTCGGACACTGTAGAGGTCATCGTGTGGCTTCTTGGTCAGACAGGATGGTGTCGGACATTGTAGGGTTCATCGTGTGGCTTCTTGGTCAGACAGGATGGTGTCGGACATTGTAGAGGTTCATCGTGTGGCTTCTTGTCCAGATAGGATTGAGTCGGACATTGTAGTGGCCATCGTGTGGTTTCCTGTCCAGACAGGATGGTGTCGGACACTGTAGAGGTCATCGTGTGGCTTCCTGTCCAGACAGGATGGTGTCGGACATTGTAGAGCTGTCGTGTGGCTCCTTGTCCAGACAGGATGGTGTCGGACATTGTAGGGATCACCGTGTGGCTTCTTGGTCAGACAGGATGGTGTCGGACATTGTAGGGTTCATCGTGTGGCTTCTTGGTCAGACAGGATGGTGTCGGACATTGTAGAGGTTCATCGTGTGGCTTCTTGGCCAGACAGGACGGTGTCGGACATTGTAGGGTTCATCGTGTGGCTTCTTGGTCAGACAGGATGGTGTCGGACATTGTAGGGTTCATCGTGTGGCTTCTTGGTCAGACAGGATGGTGTCGGACATTGTAGAGGTTCATCGTGTGGCTTCTTGTCCAGATAGGATTGAGTCGGACATTGTAGTGGCCATCGTGTGGTTTCCTGTCCAGACAGGATGGTGTCGGACACTGTAGAGGTCATCGTGTGGCTTCCTGTCCAGACAGGATGGTGTCGGACATTGTAGAGCTGTCGTGTGGCTCCTTGGCCAGACAGGATGGTGTCGGACATTGTAGGGGTCATCGTGGTTCTTCCTGTCCAAAGCAAGGTGGTGTCAAAAAATGTAAGGGTCATTATGTGCATTGGACATTCTATAGCTTCTCTGTGAATAAATAAAAATATAGTATGCATTCATATAGTTTATTCCAAACCGATAAATGTGTTGCTTTAGGACGCTTAGTCATTACATGGAAGAGAGCATGAGTCCAAATCGCAAACTGACCTTCTGATTTGGCTTTTGGCTGGCAGTAGTGTCATCAGCAGAACAACGCGACCATTGTTGGCGTCCTGGCTGGTAGCAATACGAGTTCTAGTTGGTTTGCAGATCGCGGAGTCTGGTCGGGTAGAACAATGTGTTCATTAAGGTACACTGGAGCTGGTTCAAGGTGCGACTTGTCGACAAATACCAGGAACTCGAAAGTTATCTCTCCCTCTAACTTGAAGCCAGGGTTGTAGCCCTAACCATTTTGTTAAGGGCAAACCATTTGATTTACTTTTGACAAAGTATATTTTGTTCCGAAAATATTGGAAAACGCATTTGGTCTCGTTTTTTGCCCAAAAATGATGGTTTGCTGGACATAAAATGAGTTGTAAAGAAAACATCTTCGACTCCTCTTTTCCGAGACAACACTTGTAACAGTGACCGAAAATATATTCTGTCCCCTTAAAATGTCATTTCATCCAGAAGATATTTCCAGATGCCGCACGGAAGACAACAGTCTAGTCGTAATGTTACAAACACATCGACCAGGCATTTGACAGATGCATTGGCTCGACCATATAGCCCCTCATCCATACACCGGGAACATTTGAGCTGCTTATTTCTGTTTTGAGAAAGGTCCGGTCTTCCAGTATGATGCTGGCTTTGCAATTTGACATAACTCGGAAATTGCTACTGTCGCATTGGAATTAGGCTATTGCAGAGTGATAATACATTGTTATTCAGTTTTATTGTTTTCGTATTTAAATCAAATGTATCACCCAACAACGCATGCTACATTGATGTTAAGATGGTTAAAGTCATATAAAATAATGATTGCCATTCATTATTATTATTATACAATAAACATGGGGTTGTAGAATTCCGGGAAGAAGTGGTATACAACAATAAGCTGGTTCCTGGCTCTCTATGCGCGTCGTCAACTTGTGATATAGAGGCGGGGCCAACTCAGGGTTCACAGTTGCCCACACTTGACAAAAGAGTCGACTAAAATGGATCGGGTGGAAGAAGCTAAGCGCAAAGGGACTTATTGGTTGACTGGTTTTATCGTGTCCCTATGGCGGTGATCGTTGAACAGTCACCGGTTTCCGATTCCATATTGTGCAGACGGCCGTGGTGGAACTGGAATATTGCTGTGTTCAACATCGTGTTGTTTGTTTGTTGTTTAACGCCGCACTCCTGCTATATGACAGCGGTCTGTAAATAATCGAGTCTGGAAAAGACAATCAAGTGATTGACATCATGTACATCGCCACGCAATTGGGATACGATGACCAGCATCAACCAAGTCAGCGAGCCTGACCACCCGATAACGTTAGTCGCCTCTTACGACAAGTATAGTCGCCTTTTGCGGCAAGCATGGTTGCTATTCTACATCATGTATTCACACATTGGGCTGTTCCTGGGATTACCAAGTTCGGTTAGAGCCAATATTAACTGGAACTGGAATATTGCTGTGTTCAACATCCTGTATTCACTCACCCAGCTGTTCCTTGAATTATCCAGGAAATTATATCCAGTTCGTTTACAGCCAATATTACCAGATTTGGATTCGCATTTGACATTTTTCTATCTAAGGGTATTTCTTAGGTGAGAGTATTTACATACACGTTGAGGGGCGGTCGGGTAGCCTAGTGGTTAAAGCGTTCGCTCGTCACGCCGAAGACCCGGGTTCGATTCCCGACATGGGTACAATGTGTGAAGCCAATTTCTGGTGTCCCCCGCCGTGATATTGCTGGAATATTGCTAAAAGCGGCGTAAAACCATACTCACTCACTCACTCACATACACGTTGAGACAGACATAGGAACAGACGATACATTTAAACGTTCCCCCGTAACAATATTCATTCGTTTATCGACGACACTGCTTTTAAACTAGGCACAGTGACAACGACAAAACAGTGCAGGTGGCCCAGTGATTCAGCCGTCAAATCATCTGTTTGAATTAAAGACAAGTAATTTGAATTCACTCATTCTGGTACTCCGATGTTTTAATGGAATGAGAGTTTGGAGCTATCAAATATACAGTTTATGCAACTCTAAATTGAAAATAGAATGGGTTTTCTTCCGATTGCAGCTATTGTCGGTAACACTAGAACAGGACTGTGGGTTCAGGTTCAAAATAATGAAACGCCGAGTTTCATGTCTGAACAAGTAGAATCAGGTCACAGGATTATACACGGAGACTTAATACAACCAGGTTCACCCTAACATAATCCTGTATTTAAACAACGATCACTTTGACATTCCCTGTCAAAGGACCCTCATAAACTGTACAGTGCCAATGCAATGATGGCAAGGGCTCATCTTGGGTGTCTGAAGAACCACCATATCTCTTGCTTCACGTCCTGGTTGTGTGTCGATTTGAGCCAGTATTAATGAAGTTGATGACCCCGTTTGTTGAGGATTACTCGCACTGGTCGTTTTTCGGCGAGATGGTGGTTTACGACCGGTATCGATAGCCGAGTGGGATTCAGAATGAGTTGTCTCCCTTGCCTGCTGGGACATTGCGTAGAACCACGGTCACTCGATAGGACAGAATTAAGCGTTAACGGTAGCAGTCATAAATGCACATCTGGGTTTGTTTGAACTTTAAGGGAAGAATCATTGTTATCTAGGTGTAGGCTACATTGATGCTTTTATCCCTATAATACCGAGCGCCAGGCAGGGTAAGAACAAGTACCATCTTTTTATGTCTCTTACTTGGGTACTTATTATCTGCTTGGTTGACATCACAAGGATTGAGTTGGGCAGGACAGGACATGCTTACACTTTGGGAAAACACCTAGACAAAATCATTGATTTTCAGTGATCCATTCATCTTATTTTCACCACTATTTTTCCTTTTACGCTCAGTGGAATCTGTTTGGGAGTATTCTTTGTTAATTCCAAATTATCCCGAGCTCTGTACCTCCGTAAGATGAGTGAAACCAATGAACGATAACAGGAGCATCATTGCACATTCTGAGGTAACCACACTTAGTCTGGTCACACAAAGGGGAGTTGGGGTAGCCTTGTAGTTAAAGCGTTCACTCGTCACGCTGACGGCCCGATTCGATTCCCCACATGGGACCAATGTGTGAAGCCCGTTTCTGGTGTACCCCATCGTGATATTGCTGGAATATTGTTAAAAGGGGCGTAAAACCATACTCACTCACCCAAAATAGCCACCCGATTACCATCTTAGGGTGGCCGTCCCCAAGCTCTGGATGTAGAGCAAGTTCAATACACGTAGATCTATGTTATCTTTTCATTCAATACAGAGCTGCCATTCCCTCCTTCTGAAATAATTATTATTTCTATGGGTGTACATTAATGTTGCAGTCATATCCTCAAAACACTAAACAAGCATTTTTTATTGGATCTAGGTAACAAATGTTCTTTCAGGTAACAGTTCGTAAATGAATATTCTTTTGCAACAGGAATATTAGAGTGAGAGAGTTGTGGCTATTTTCATAGTTGATAAACACCCCAGTCAGCAACATTCCAGCTGTATCACAGCAGCATGTAAATATATTCGGTGCGGTCAAAGCAAACCAATCCTTAATACTATCAGCAGTGTCCTGTGCTACACATCTTCCCGGGGCAAGAGAGTTGCATCAAATCACGTGAGCACCTTGATTAAAAACATGAAAAGATTTGGAAAATATCTGCTGACAAGTTGGCGGTGCACATGCTTTCCAAATCCTGCAATCGACCGAAATCTTCACGACAGTTTACGAACCGTATTCCGATTTCAGTGCGCAATTTTGATTGGACTATGCATAGACTCGTTAGTCAAGCCAAAATGTAACTCCATAATACCAGCCTAGTTCGGCAAGGGTGGAAACTGGACTTTTATAGTCAGTTAACTCACTTGCCTCGGGAAGATGGTGCTACATGGTACATGGCACACTGACGCAAGTAACCGACTATCTGATCCATGACCACCCTCTTACTACCAGCAAACGTTACTTGGGACAAAATCCCTCCTAGAATTCCCATGTGGTTAGCAGGTCACGGTAGTTACCATTTGGGGGAACCCAAGAACACAAATGGTCCTGCAAGATGTTACCAAAGTGAGTGAGTGAGATGTGTTGATAATTCCACTTTGAACAATATTTCACCCTGTCAGCTTCATAGGGTAAGCAAGTCCTAGATGTTTCAGTGAGTGAGTAAGTCACAAATCAGGTGAGCTCAATCATGGCAGAGAGTCCTTGGACTCTGGAGTTTCCGGAGCTTAGTTTTTGAAGCACATGTGGTGTGTAGTTAGAAAAAGATACTTCGGAATATGCCTTTGTTCACCCAGCAGTGAATGGGTACCTGGTAGGATGGTAATGTGACTGCTAACCGAGTGCTCACAAGCAGCATGGGTAATATATTGATTTGGCGCATCAAAAACATGCACATTATGTGTAACACCACATCAGTAATATTGCAGCTACTAGTATTTGTAGGAAGTGCCACCTAGGTGAAGCCGGTGAGCAGGGTGCTAACAGAGTAAGGATCACAATTAGGATGCTCGGCAGATCCTGGCACTGATGGAATAATCCCGGTTTGTTCGGTTAGCTACTAGTATTTGTAGGAAGTGCCACCTAGGTGAAGCCCGTGAGCAGGGTGCTAACAGAGTAAGGATCACAATTAGGATGCTCGGCAGAACCTGGCACTGATGGACTGATCCCGGTTTGTTCGGTTAGCTACTAGTATTTGTAGGAAGTGCCACCTACGTGAAGCCCGTGAGCAGGGTGCTAACAGAGTAAGGATCACAATTAGGATACTCGGCAGAACCTGGCACTGATGGACTGATCCCGGTTTGTTCGGTTAGCTACTAGTATTTGTAGGAAGTGCCACCTACGTGAAGCCCGTGAGCAGGGTGCTAACAGAGTAAGGATCACAATTAGGATACTCGGCAGATCCTGGCACAACAAATTGGCCAATCTCTGCACCAGAATTTGTGCTGCCTTAACCGACTGGGTCACCCATCACCCAGCTGCCATGGGTGGAAATGGTGGAAATGGTGGAAATGCACCCAGTTTTTAGATAAAGCATCAAGAACTAATGTAAAGGTTTAAAAATATACCTTTATTATAAAAATGTACACATAAGAAACATATGAAACAATATACTAATGATCCTCAGACATTGTTCCTTATAAGACACAGACATGGCTCATGCTTCATACAGTGGTTTTCATAAAATGGGGTTTTTGAAAAAAAAATATATCAAAATACACCCTGTGTGTTTGTCTGTTGAGCAGTTAAGATGGATCATTTTGTTTACAAGATCATGTTTGCATCAAGAATGTTCTTCACTCCATTTATATAATGCACACCATTTTTATGGTCAATGCATATTTAAGATTGTTTTAATAATTATGCAACAAAATCCTACCCTCTGAAGGGTTAAACTTTTCAAGTTAACCCCAGCAGAGTTGATGCAACTCTATTAGAGGGTGCGATTTTATGGCACCAGAGCTATTTCTTTATACCCATGGACAATTGTGTCATCGTCTTTTAAACCACTGCCATATAACAGTTTTTTGTTCAAACTGGCTCCAAAAAAACCAAACCACATTTTTTTCTCTGAAATGTGACTCCTATGGAGGTGGTTAACTGAAAAACTGAAAAATTTCTCCAAACACTTGTGTCGGAATAAATAAAAACAATATAGTGTCGCAATAATGTTGACAATTGATCTAAGATAAAACAAGATCTTAGTGGAAGACAAACAAAGTTCTTTGCATAGCGAGCCAGCACCTTCAACTACTTGCTGTAATACAATTGACATTCAGTCACAGACTTCTAAACAGCAGTTGAGTTTGCTTAAAGCTTGTAATTGGTTTAAATGTGCAACTGTAAAAAAAATGTGTAACAAAAGTGATATCTAACAATGAGTATTGACTCGATCCAAACTAAGACATTTCCACAGCATATACATTCTGCTTCAAACATCATTTATTGGGATGTGTCAAAACTATTTTGTAATTTTTCGGTTGTGATGAAAATATCAAATGACACAAGACGTTGATTTTCAATTGCTTTGTTACAGATATAATTTCAGTTGATTAAATTTTTTTTATCCAAAATACTTATGACATATCCCCCTATCATTTTGACTTCATAAGTGATGTTATTGGCATTCTCTTAAAGGAGATACTACTTGCATAGAACAATAAATGCATTGTGGGGGTCAGCAGTATACTTTTCGTTGATTTCACAGAAGTGATTGACATAAATGTCACATGGTATGCTAAGCAACTCCATACTCTTTGAGCTAAAAAACCATGCACAGTTTAAAAATAAATATAAGGCTCACTTTCACAACATTCACCTTTATGACATACAGTCACTTAAAGATTTTCCAATAAATAAATAACAATCTTGTAAAGATTAAAACACAGCAAAATACCATCTTGTAATACTAGGTAACAAAGAATCCTATAAAGAAATGCATTGAAAACTGTCTTCAACAATCATTAGCATACATTACCATACAAGAATTTACTTTCAACCTTTCAATACTGTCGTCCTTATCTACGGAAGTGCCTGGTATTACAAGATACTATTTGCCTGTCACTAATTAACATAACAACCAGTGTGGGTGGGTGGAGCGTGTAGTGTCATCTACAGTAGAAAGAAACGAAAGACAAGAGAAGAATAGCGGACAGTTTGCAAACAATCCTCACAGAACTGGCAGGACGCCGCCATCGTCGTCGCCTTTGTCACCAAAGTTATTTACATACATACTGATAATCAGTTTTTGAAATATCCTCCAATAATGGTAAATTCTAAAACAAAATACATAATTCCAATCCATATCTGAAAATTTACATTAGTTATCAATAATGGCTTTTTTCATATCGCATAAAATTCCCAAAAGTTTGACGTACACAGCCAGACCACGTTCTCATGATCAATGGACAAATGAAAAAAATAACCCCAAAATCTTCACATGGTTGATTTTTGGTCAAATACTTAACCCTACTTCATAAAGATGCTTAATGACAGTATAGTTTCAACTAGAAACAGTATTTCTAAATATGAATTCTAGAACATAAGGGGTCGAAATGTAAAAAAAAGCAAATATGAAAAAAGTAAAGAAAATACTCCGGTGATGCAAAAGTAACCAGTATGTATGCAAACAAAAGAACAACCTTTTTAAAAAAGAATGAGATGAGAGTTCGGTTTGTTTCAAGCTCTTTTTGGTACATTTGTTCCACAATAAAATATGATATGTACATAGATTCCACAACGCAGTACATACATACATAACAATACATGAATAGTAAGTAGTCAACACGACAGTGACAATGCGTGGTCACATCACTGTCAACTATTTATACCTATATACATATGTATAATGCTATTCTACACGTCGTATATTACAGAAATACACACATTCATTTGTCGGACACAACACACAGTGATCAACTTGTAGGTGCTTGTGCATGCATCTTCATACAGATAAAGCTGACAAAATATATATATGTCCTAACTAATAATTTGCAAAAATATATGTAAACATGCTTACAGATTGTGGTTCATTTTTTTCATTCATAGAGGTATATATTTTTGCAGTTAAAAAACTGTTCGCAAGTTGTTTGATCGGAGCAAAATCACTGCCAGACTAAGTATATATTTTTTAGTTTTATCTGAATATGAATGATTTTGCCAAAAATAGCAACAGATTAAAAATGCTAATAAAATCATTAACATGTCACTGTTTTTTTAAATTTGTAATTATGATTAAAATCTTTTTTTAGGGCCAGTTTTAGTTATCATGGTTGTAGCGAGTAAGGCATGTTTGCTTATAACTAAAAACTTCAGCTTGGCACATATAAACAGCTCACAACAGAATCATACAGTAATTCCTTGGTAAGGCACATGAGTAAAAGTCAAGAGTTATCTCCCTTTAAGCACTTTCTAATCCACAGGAGAACAGTTTCTAGTGTCAGCGTTGTTGACCTTTGTTCCTTCACTCCCCACACAAAAGGGAAAGTTTTCATCACACAAAATAGCTATTTTTTCCCAAAGTCAAAAAGCACATATGAATCAGCACTTGCATAGACGTTTGGGCTATTTGCACTGGGCCCATTTCGGCAAGATGCGTCTTCTTGCGTTCGTGAACCAATAGTTTATCTGGTTTATTGTCAATCCAGTTTGCTTAATAAGCATGGCCTTTTCATCATCATTGGGATAGGGATTGTCTTTGTGGTTTCGGAGCCATTCCAACATAATTGCCACAGCCTGAAAAAAAAAAATTAATAATAAATTTAATTTTGAACATATTCATAAACAAATCTAGTCATTTCTTTTATTTCAAAACAATTTCTACAATTCATTTTGTGTCCTCAAGACATTTTTCGAAAGACATCTTTGATGTCAATAATGTAAACTGGGAGATCTCCGTTCAACCCTCGAAGGGAAACATGTCAACATTGTGCGTGACACATCTTTGTGATAAACACAGAAGCAAATTCCCTTGTAATATCAATGAAGGTGACAATCCAATTATAACTGTAACTAAACAGCCCATAGGACAAAATGTCCAACAAAGGCCATGCTTCAGTAGATTCCATGAATGTAGCAAGCATACTTAATAAAGTTATCAATTAGATTACAGAACAAACATGTAAAGGTCGCATTTAAAAAAATGTATAAAAACAGACTATCAACAAACCTATTCACGTAGGCAATCAATTACAATGGAAACTTTACGAGTTTCCAATCTATGAAAATGTTCTGTTTCAATCGACGAACAAATTTCAAACTTTTGGATGAGGGAGTTTGGAAAATTACCTCTTTGGGGAGACTTGGATGTTTCTTTGACTCCGATTTGTTGCTATGGTTACTGTTGTTGCTGATGGCACTGCCAGCCTCGCTGAGGGCATCTTGGGCCTCCTTAATGGAGCGAAATTGCGGTGACGCAAGAGTTGGAAGTCCGATCCCTTTACCCATAGCGGGGATAAATCCTTCCTGAGTCTGCGAAAATATTGATTCAGAGATTGTAAATTTTTAATTGAATTATCATCAACTTAAAACCCCAGTCTCCTACGTTCTTAAAATGATTAAATTCGAACCAGGTATTTCTTTCCTTCCTTTCCACATTGCTTGTTGAGCAATTCAGGAAAAAAACTGGAATTTTACAGCGTTTTATTTCTAAGTTAATTACAATAAAATCTCTAGTTCCTAGGAAGTGAGAGCATTAGAAAGGAAGATAATTTCTTCTGGTAAAGGAAAGGGGTTCAGATCGGATTGAATAGAGAAAACGTCTTGAGATGTGCTCACCTAATTTCACACTTCTATTTTTGGCAATTTGATCATCGAAAATACAAAAGACTTTCCCAATGTGATATAAAAATCACAACTCAATAAAAATCTGAAGAGACATATCAAGGTTGCAACATATCGTGAATGTGAAATTAATAGTTAACTGAACATGAAGTGGCTATTTCATCGTTTTAAACAGAGGTAAACCCCAGTGGTCACGAGCTAGTTTGCAAATCATTTAAAAAAGTAGTTATGTAAAACAATATTTTTGAGAAAACAATCACTCTGGATTTTCACTAGTCATGCTCTGGATTTTCACTAGTCATGCTCTGGATTTTCACTAGTTTTGGGCTGACGGACTATTGTGTCTAGTCCTATTATACATAGTTCATATTCACGTTTCTTTGTAAGATTTCAAAACAAGGGGTGTATCCTGATGAATAATTCATCTGATGTACTACAAAGCATAGACTCGTAAGTGTCTCAGTAAGCTAAACATAAACCAATCCAGCATGTTGGGATGCATGTACTTCTCTCAATGATTCCATAAAGCCGTTCCAAATGCATGAACTAATGATATAAGTGTCTCTGGCTTCCTTGCCTCTAGCAGTTTACCATCTCCATGTATGACGCACAACTAGTTTTTAACTGTTTCTACAGCAATTTCAACCACATATGCCCAAGCTTTGTTACTTTTAGCCTCTTTCATGACAGTTGGACCATTAAAACTGTCACTGTGTCAGTGTTTAAGTGTTTTCTAAATAAATGAAGAGGCTCAATTGCGAAAAAAAGCACCAGTTCCACTCATAGGATGTCTGTAACACTTGATGATTTATGGACCAGAAATGCAGAAATACCAACCCTCATGACACTTTATGACTTGTACAGAATTCCCTTGTAAAAAGTGAAATGGCAAACTTGGGACATAATTGGTTAAGAATGAAAACAAGTACAGACACAATGACAAATACAGTGTGTCCTTCATGTCAACCGTAGCCCTATTTCCGACCAGACAAAAAAATCAAAAGGAAGCGACAACACCTACATTAATTGTTTCATATTTACTAGATGTGTACGAAAATCCCCAAATGACAGAATCGTGAATGCTGAGAATCATGTTCTTCTGTTTGATAGTAGGTAGGTTTGTCTCTTTGTTTGTTGTTTAACACCACACTCAGCAATATTCCAGCTATATGACGTTGGTCAGTAAATAATAAAGTCTGGAAAAGACAATACAGTCATTGACATCATGAGCATCGATCCATGCATTTGGGATACGATGACACGCATCAACCAAGTCAGCGAGCCTGACCATTCGATCCCGTTCACCCCCTTACAACAAGCATGGGTTGCTGAAGACCTATTCTAACCCGTATCTTCATGGGTCTGATAGTAGGCAAACCATTTCTTAGATATCTTTGCAAACTAGAGTGCCATGTTGAAAGACTTCCCTTTGATTATTAAATACATACTGATTCACACATCTGCATTGAATGCTTAACATGAAAAGTCCTCTAACCCTCTAACCTTCTTTCTGTTGGTCCACAATGAAGTTATGTTAATCAGTTTGTGTCTGAGTGCGAGCATGCATGCTGTTTAAAGCCAAACTCAGTAATATCCCAGCTATGGATGGTTATTGTTTGGCAAAGCTTTTTGGTCAAACAATATACCACTGAACATATTTAGGGCATAATTTTCGAAAATACACTCAAAACATATCTTTGTTTTTTAATGTCACACAAATTCCAGCTTTATGATGGCGGCATGTGATAACCCAATCTGAACCAGACAATCCAGTGACTGATATTGTGAGCAACAATCTACGATGTCGGGGAACGTTACATTACCAACCAAGTCACCGATTAATCATGTTACTATTACTTGATTACTATAAGATTTCAAGTCCATGGCTACTGAATTCTAAACATAATACAACACTGAAACTTAAATCTATCCACTAAGAACCTAAGATTCTACTTTATTACTTCACTGTTCTCTCAGTTATAATAACGCACTCCCCACACATGGCTGGAACCTGTCATGGATGTATGGGGATGTAGTTACGCTCTGCACTTGCCCACACTAAGCTAAGCCAACTGTCCCCTCTCCTTGTCTTCAAACCCCAGGCTACCTTCCATACAAACTCTTACAGAGGTGATTTGGTCTGAGATAACAGCCCTCCTCAACTTCGGTATTAAGCCTGACTTTGACAGGTCTCCCTCTTTGCATAAGCTCCCCCTCCTATTTCAAATTAAAATTGCCATGGCTTGATGAGGTGTCAGTGTAAAAACTGGTTTTGTTGGGTAAAATAACTAAAGCTTGGTGTTGAGGCATGAACTGCTAAATGTTGGGTATTCTGTGTAGCAGTCTGTTGTGTGGGGGTATTTCGGATGAATTAGACTCATATTAATGATACAAAGGTGGGAGAAATGGATGTCGAAGGAAGGAAAATGGACAGGTGAAATAGGGATTCAGAGAAAGCATTGAAGGGAAGATGGGGAGGAATATAAAGATGGGAGGGGAAAGAGGGAAGGAAAAGGGGAGTGGAAAGAGGGAAAGATAAAACTGGAATTCAGAGGAAGCAAGAATAAGACGGTAAGGAAAAGGGAAGAGGGGAAGGAGAGAGGAAAGATAAATAGGGATTCAGGGAGAGAGGAAGGAAAGAGAGAAGGAACAGAGGGAGGTATATGAAGATGCGGATCGATGGGGATAGAAGGGAAGGAAAGAAGGGAAGAGAGGAAGGAAAAAAGGAAAGAAACGGATTCAGAGAGCGAGGGAAAAAGGGAAGGGATAGAGGAAGGAATATGAAGATGGGGAAAGAAGGTAAGGAAGAGAGGAAGGAAAAAATGGAACGATAAACAGGGATTCAGAGAGCGAGGGAAAGAGGGAATAGAGGAAAAAAAGATGAAGGAGAAAGGGGAGACAGGTGGGAAGCAAAGAAAGAAAGGGCTGTGATACAAAGATAGAAAGAAAGAAAGACAGTAAGAAAGAAGCATAACATAATACCTTAACAGTTAGGGTTGATGGGGTGGGGGCCTATTGTGAGGGAGGTCAACCTCATGAATGGAGGGCCCCAGACTCTGGATAATGGGATACTTTTGCCTGGGCAGCGAGACACTCCTAACCCTTGACAAATTGGGATCTATAAATCCCATTCATAGGTGTAGAGCACTGAATAAAGCTCAACAGGTTTTGTTCACATACAAAGCCCACCTCCCGTATTTCACTGGGGACAATAGATGGGGAGAGGGTTATGATAGGACTAGTGCCTGGCTAGACCAAGGGTGGCTAGCCTGGAGGTTGGGCTAGAAAAGGCTGACCCTACTCTCTAATCTGTATTTACAAAATGACAATGTCTGGATAGAGTGAAAAGATATCTTCAAATTGTAAATCTTAAGTAGAATAATTAAGGAAAATTCCTATGCTGAGAAAGAGCATCTAAAAAAAAATCTGATTTGAACCCTAACAAGGTTCAAACAGTTTTTTGTCAGTAGGGTTGACTTTGCAAACAGTCTTAATGAGAATGTATTTCAAACTCCGCAAGTGTATGAGAATAAAGTGTCACTTCTTAGAAAGAAATAGCAATAATTATTCATGAGTCAGAATACATTTCAAATATAACCAACTTTAAAATAAATAATCCTCAAGTAATTTAGTGAAATAGATATGACAAAACTGTTATGAGAAAATGCGTGGGAAAGGGACAAACAAAAGTGTTTAAAATAGATGGGAGATTGGAATTCTTTCATCATTAGAAGGCACACAGCTTCCAAACGGACCTCTCCAAGATATTTAAGGGAGCAAGGTTGCAACAAACCAGTTATTTATCCAGTCAGAAAACACAGCCAACAGTGAACTGTGAACATTATGTGGGGGATGAAAATAGAACTTATTTGCCAACGCAACAAGACAAACTGTGTTGACATGTTCAGTAGGGGTCAATATTCGACACATTTAGGAAAGTGACAGGAACATTTTTGTTGTGCACAAAGCCAAGATTAAACAAAGGCCTGCCAGGGGGCTTGGCAAGATATTGGGGGGCATCTCCAAAATAGTTGCAGATTTAAAAACAAGTTTTATTGTTGAATATGATGATGAAACTTCAAATAAAAAATGTGTGGCTTTGCTTTAAAATACTGAGCATTTTTTTAGTTTTTGGTAGTATTTGGGAGATAAGCTTTGATGCCTCAGTAATGCTGCTATGTGCATAAATATTAACATGGTGTTTAGGAATTACAATGACAAGTAGCGATATTACTGATCTGTAGCAATATTACTATGACATGTAGTAATATTACTGACACGTAGCAATATTACTATGACATGTAGCAATATTATTGATCTGTAGCAATATTACTATGACATGTAGCAATATTACTGACATGTAGTAATATTACTGACATGTAGCAATATTACTATGACATGTAGCAATATTACTATGACATGTAGCAATATTACTATGACAAGTAGCAATATTACTGACATGTAGCAATATTACTGATCTGTAGCAATATTATTGACGTGTAGCAATATTACTATGACATGTAGCAATATTACTATGACATGTAGCAATATTATTGACATGTAGCAATATTACTGACATGTAGCAATATTACTGATCTGTAGCAATATTACTGACCTGTAGCAATATTACTGACCTGTAGCAATATTACTGACCTGTAGCAATATAACTGACCTGTAGCAATATTATTGACATGTAGCAATATTACTATGAAATGTTGGATGCCTTAAAGCCAACTGCCTCCCCAGGACCTAGTCTATGGTTTCCTGATCCCTGGACCTGACACAGCCACTGTGTCAGACATATATGCAAAAGGGATTATGATAACACACTTATTTGTATATGCAATGGGGATTTGGTGTTCCATTCTATGTTGGAGAGGCTTGGGAGGCTTGGGTATATACAGGTATTGTTCCAGATAGGTACATACGATCAGTGATGGTGGCACGTAGTCCCACCCGCACTTGATGAGACCTGACTTCATTGAGCCTCCCAGCCTGTACCACAACTCCCATATATACTATACTACTCAACATTTGAAAGGGATATTCTGCGTGTCCTGGCACATGGAAGGAGGAGGGGAGGAGGAGGAGGAGGAGGAGGAGGAGGAGGAGGAGGAAAGAGACGGAGGAGTGTGTTCAATCCTTGTGCGTGGAGAATGAGAAATAACTGAATGGATTAACTGAACAACATCAGCAACAGTCATATCACCAAGGAGATAAACCATGATTTTCTGCCAGATGGAACTAGCCCTTTTAACGCTGCAGATGCCCTTTACGTCTTCACCCTGTGGCGAAGTTCACCTTTTCAATATGCCGCAAAAGTTCACAGTATCAATTTGCCCTTTAATTCACATCAACTGCAATTCTGAAAGGTCATATACTCTTCATCCATTCATGATCATCAACTTAACACCATCAATGCCTTGTTTGCAAATTATCCACATTCAATACCTAAACAACAGGTAACAAGTCAAAAAGAACAATTCGGTTTCAATTTCTGCTTACCATTGATGGATCCATCATGCCATATTTGGGATCTTTGACTACCTGGCCTACACCGAGCGAGCCCATTGGCCCAGCTGCCATTTGAGTCCCGCCCATTTGCCCAGAGCTGAGCATCATGGGATTGCCATGGTTTACTGATGCTGATTGTTCTGGCTGTAAATAAATAATATTCATAATCAAAATAAAAGTAGTACTATAAATATTCAAAATCATTTTCATCTAGGGTAACAAATGACAGAAGCAAAAACAAACAAGTGAGCTGTATTCCAGTTATATCAATTTGCGTCAGCTTATCATGGGAAGAAAGCATGAAGTAATGCTGGTCTCAGGTGTTTACTGCGTTTGCGGAACCCACAAGCACGTGCATGGTGCTGACAGACCAAGAAACATAATTTGGGCGAACCGGGATTCGAACTCCGCACAGCAAAATGCAGCGCCTCAGACAACTGGGCCACCCGTACACCATTAAAATGAAGAAAAATAAACTTGTCCTAGTTATATAAAAAGTTGCCAGATGTTTCACACAATGTATCCATATTGTACAGGGAAATAACATTTCTAAACATTGTTGAATAAACTATGGAACGTTAACTACGACCTGTTTTCTCCAAAGTCAACTACCTCCAATCCAATCAAATCAACATAAAATTAGAAAATGCAAAGCTTTTTTCCCATCATTACAAAAAAAACCAAGAGACAAATTAGCAACATGAACAGAAAAGGCAAATCACATTTGGGGCAGTGGATGTAGCCACAAATCAACAAACCTGATCCAGCCAGGTTAAGTGTTAGGACACTTGGGTGTGATATGATTTTAAGGGCATTACAGTTCAAGCAACAGTCTACATTTAATCTACACTTTCTTCTCCCCCTGATAAGCATGAATACACGAGGTGGCTGGCCCCCTGTGGGGGTGGGGCGATCATGTTGTACCCAAGGGGAGATTAAGGGCCCGTCTATGATTACCTTCCGTTAATCCGCCCACTCACCTAATCTGATTACAGTTTATCAGCGTTCATAGGTAACAGTGTATGGTTACTTGACTATGTTTGCAATCATCTTGACTGAGCTTGCCACAACTCAATTTTAACTTAGCGACAGACAGCTAATGGCAGTCACTCTTGGCGACCGTGAGATAACTCACACCAAGCACTACAGTGACCAAACTTAATATGGTTAAGAGATAAGTGCAATATTGTATAAATCCATGACTTACATGCTGATAAAAAAAATTCATGATCCCTTTTTTTGTTCATCATATTTCATATTAATAAAATTCCAAATAATCTTTGCGCTTTGAATACTTTAAAATGTTGTGATGAAGCAAACGGCTCAGGAAGTTGGACAATAAATCATTCTGTAGACCTTCCTGTACACTGGTACAATCACTGAGTCATAAATATACTTGTTCCCTAGCAGTGTCAGAGATAGGAGATCCACTAGGTTAACGTAAAATTGACAGCAATGAGCGAATAAAGTCTCGCCCGGGAAATATTTCGCACTCAAGAATCCGATTCCAATCTTATTGAAATCCTATTCCTAATTTTTAACTCAACTATGTACACCACATGGATGGCTTATCATTCCATTCATACAGTATCATGCTTCACGTTTTGGGTTTTCGATGAAGAATCTGATATAAGACTGCACTAGCATTTCTCAAAAAGCCCTGTCAGTTAAGATCTGTTGAGAGAAAAAATGGCCACATGGAATTCCAATTTCCACTCTTTCACACTAGGTGTTTACAGTCGCTCCATGGCTTGTTTTTTTTTTTAAATGGTGAAAAATCGGAGACTGTGCCTGTTACTAAGTTGTTAATTATGAATGAACTTACAATACTGTTGCGAACAGCTCGATCAAACTTCTCACAAAACTCTTCAATAGCACTGAGTGATTTGGATGTGGCTTTCGTGTGCTTGTCTTGTTCCTGGCGAACACGGATTTTCTCTGAAAACAATTGAAATAACTGTTACAAGATACATGTTTCAAACTGTTTCGTCATTATTGGTATGATAATCAGGACCCATAAATCCTGAAAGATATCGTATTTGTTTTTCACATATGCTACAAGATGTGGTACTCATTTGTTAAAAAACTCATCTAAATGATGTATTCTTCAAAAATTCTGCTCCAAACAAAGAATTATCAGTCGACCTTACTGTTTGTTTTCAAAGTACACTGCTATGAATGTGTAGAAAAAACAAGCAGTTTATGTAAGTTATTATTAGCCGATCAAACAGTAATTTCTTTTCAATTAGCACTCCACATGAAAACTCCTTTGTTGATAAATTATGGCTACCAAAATGCAAAAAGTCCAATTCTTCTTTTGACTTACCTATTAAGCACTGGTGAGCATATCGGAGGGCATCCATTATGACACTTTCTACGGCAAAGTTGCCCTGATAATTTCCAGTGGGGGGATTCCGATGTAAAAAGTTCTGTAAAAGTTTGTCAAACTCGGCTGGCAAGTTGCTAATTAGCTGATATGGGAACGAAGGAGAAGCAAAGTTCATGTCAGCAATTATCAAGTCCCGCAATAGAGGGAACAGCGGATGTGACCTGAACGCATTCGAGCGATCCGTTATAAGATGCTGTATAAAAGTCTGTTGAGAAGCAAGCATGGGCGGCCGGTGCGGCGAACCCGTCTTGCAACTCTGGCAATTTGGTATAGTGCATGGTACCATTGGTGACGCCCCAGATTGCATGTTTTGAGAGCACTGTGGGTTCTGGGGTGTCGATGGGGGCATCATTTGTTGCATGGGGTTTTGGGGAGTCTGTTTCATGTGGGAGAGATCCTGCATGTTCTGGGGGGTCTGGGGAGCAGCGGTTCCCTGGTTTGACCAGGGCTGAGGTGTCCCTGGTCCCATGTTCCCAGCATGCTGCTGCTGCTGCTGTTGCTGTTGTTGTCCTTGGTACATTTGTGGATGCATGTTCCGTGACGGTGTCTGACTGCCATTGTTGTACATGCCATGATCATACCCTGACGTTGAGGGCATTGTGCCATAAGGTCCCGTGACTGTGCTATTGGCTTGGGTGTGTATTCTTGGTGTGCTACAAGAACTAGGAGGTTGATTGAACTGTTGCTGGTTGCTAGAAGAACCTTGCTGTGCTTGTTGCTGGTTGTATGTTCCAGCAACCTGGTTTGCCCCCATCATACGGTTAGCTCCTTGGTTCAAGCCTGCCACAGAGCAGCTATTGTCATAGTTACCAGACTGCAAAGACATCTGGTTTCGGTACATTTCGTTTTGCTGTTGAAGTTGTGCCATTGATGACGCCTTCATAGAGTCAGTCACAGACATCCCCCGGTATGCGTTCATCTGCTGTGCATACGTTTGATTCTGCTGGTACGCCCCCATTTGGTTAAAGTCACCTGTCTCCACCCTCAACATGTTTTGATTATTGTCTACATAGTACATGTTATTCTCTTGACCCTTGCCAGAAAAGTCAAACTGCTGAATGTTGACAGCAGGGCTCCCCCCACTGCCTGGCCGACTGCCCGGGTTAACTCCACAACTACTCCTATTGGAGAAATCATAAGGGCTTCCTCCCGGAACAGTGTATGGAGCTACTTCAGACTTCATGCTTGCTGAGATACGAGGAAGAATTTTGGATTTTTGTGAATTTTCTCGGAACTCCTGATCGAGGTCGAAACCACATTCGGAATTAAAACCACCGTTATAGTCCACACCTTGCTGGTTTTGGCACTCAGACCCAGTCTCAGACCCGGGTATGTCAGCAAAGTGAACCGATTTCTGTGGTATGGCTGGCATTGGTGGCATTTGAACATGTCCGACTGTTGCCACACGAGGCGGCTGCACAGAGTTTGATTGTTGTATAGATGGGATCATTGATGACACATCCTCAGTCTTTACATGCATTTGATCAGCACTACCCATGGACATGTTGGAACCATAGCTCCTCACACTACCGGTGTCACCGGAGAAGTAGCCTTGGTCCAGAGAATCCAACGACCGACCATACTGAGTGTTTGTTTGTACTGTCAAAGAGTCACAACCTTGAACATTTGTGTGTGCAGCCTTTGGGTTCATCATTCTTAGGTGTTGCATATTCTGCACATTCACAACAGGTGGGGCTGGTTTGCCCAATCTTTGGTAGTTTGTAGCCGTGGCAGACTTTTGCATAGAGGGAGCCCTATTTGAGCCTATTTGATGTGACTGGCCATAGTGCAAAGTACCGGGCTGATGGCAGGGAAGTGAGTTCGGTGACTGAGGAATATGTTTTTGATGCAGTGGGGACTGCTGACTACATGAAGGCAGATTTGGTTTGGGGGAGTAGCACCTAGTTTTGCTTGGTGTCATGGGACAATGTGACAAGGGCACCGTGTCTCGACTTGAAGAATCATCACAATGACTGGACGGTGGCAGGACGCTGGGAGACTGGCGACCAGCATTACCAGACGATAACGGACGTTTTGGCGTTGGGGGAGTCTGTGGCATTTTGAACACTTGAGAGGGCAGAACATGTGGTGATTGTGGAAGAGGAGGAGCAGTGGACTTGGTGGGACTCGACTCTCCCGAGGTAGATGGATGGAAGCGTTTACTGACTGGCGAGTTGGCACCGCTGGACACAACGGTTGATGTTCCAGACGTCACTGTCGAGGACATCACCACCGGACTGCTCAGAGGCCGTCCCCAGTTCTCCATTCTCAATCCACTTGAGACCTGTTTGACTGTCGAGATCGAGGTCTGAGATCCAGAGCTGAAGCTACTACTGTTCATGATGGCTTCTGGTGTCATATATGAATGTGGGTCGGGCATGTCCTGTTCCATGAGGAACTCCACAAAGTCCAGCTCCATCCCTTCCTTCATCCCGATGTCCTCACAGATCTCATCCAGCAGTTCGTTGGGGAGTCTCTCGTCATCCACAGGTTGGGGGACAGGGGATGACGGGGTGGTTGGAGACCCCAGTCCCTCCGGTTCCAGCGCTGAGGCACTGGATGCCGACGGACTTGGCGGAGCCTCTCGGTACTCCATGAGCTGCAACAATAAATAACTGAATAAGCAACTGAATCATCAAAGGCACTCCAAAATAAGAAATATTTTCATACTAAAACCAAATGCACATTCTATTTAGTATGTATCAATCTGTTCGATAGTCAATGTGTTGTTGTATGTTGTTTAATGCTGCACTCAGCATATTCCAGCTTCATGATGGCAGTCTGTAAATAATCAAGTCTGGAGCAGACAATCCAGTGATTAACACCATGTGCATTGATCTTCTCATTGGGGATCGATGACATGCATCAACCAAATCAGCAAGCCTAACCACCTGATCCTGTTAGTTGCCTCTTACGGGAAGCATGGGTTGCTATAGACCTATTCCAACCCCGATCTTCATGAGGATATAGTCCATGCGGCTGAGATAGTGTTGAATAAGCAGTTAAACAAAAGTCACTCACTTGCTAAGATTATGAACCCAAACTACAAATCATACCTCTAAACAGCCCACTGAAACAAACATCAATCATTCCCCTCCGCAACCATCACACACGCCAAAGAAACCTGAATGTACTTCGACAACAGGAGAGAGTGCCTATTGACTTACTTACCACAACAAAAAGTGTGTAAAATATATAATTGATTACGGCAATGAAAATAATTGGCACAATTAATAAGAAGGAGACACTTGATTCAGTACACTAACTGAACCACAGTGGCGTCAGGCTCGGCTCCATGTTCAGATAAAACAGCTAACTAACCCAAGAACTAATGGTACTGACTTGATTGAAATTAACACAGCGTACAGATAAGGCAAAACACCATGAACCTTTCAGCTACAAATTTTGAAACTTTCTGGGACAAAAATAAAGTTGATTGATTAACATGGATTTCCCTCCCAATTTTCAAACCAAGCAGAATATGAGAAAATATGATCAAAATTACATATCCAATCTGAAAACCTCATAAAGTTTAACATATTGAGAATGTGCAAATGTGCATTAACAAATTGACAAAATAAATATGACAGTCATTGCCAATAAATATATATTCCAAATGCATATGGCAAACTACAGACATGTCAACAAAAAGAAAATAAACAAAGAGATATTTATCCCTATAAGAATAAATTCAAAATGAAATGCAAATACCTCGAGACAGAACACCTCCGATTCTTTCATTGTCTAGATAATATTGTGCTATCGGCTAACTAAAAATCATATTTCAAATTGGAGAGCTGTTTCCTCCTCAACATCTGTCAAAATGGCTGACAGAAAACATTGTACATTTTAACATCTCTTGACCTCGCCCTCATATTAAAAGAAATCTCAAAATTATATTTTCCTCATAATTAATGAGCTTCCTCCTGTTTCGCATGTTATGTGTTCTTGAAACATGTTTGTCGGAAAACTTGCCCGGTGAACGGTCACTTTTCAGGCGGGGCCAGGGATTATTTACGAGCATCCTGGCCATGTTGTATGTTTGACCATTAAAAGGCATGTTTTGCTATTCATACATTCAGCCTTGAGTGCAAAACGAGCACATGTGGTGTGAGAATTCATAAATCTTCTTAAAAGTTTATCCAGTGAAACGACGAGTTCACGCAGTTCTTGATTAGATTCGTGAAATTTCCGAACAAATTCTGATTAATTCACCAGTTGTTATAACATGTGAAGAACTGTAACTGCAATGCTTAATATTTTGAATTAATTTTAATGAAATAAAAAATGATTTAAAGCCATACCTTACAAATAAATATTTGTCGAAAACACAATACATGATTTTCTCCTTCTGAAAACGTCACACTTCAATTCTTTCAATTATCAACTAATGCCTCCTAAATCATTAATGAACACTAGTTTGTCAGGGAGGTTTCTATTAGCAGTCCAAAAGAATTGAAGGGTTCCAATTACTCAAATTTCAAGTCAAGAACAAAGTCAAATTAAATTTTAATCAGGTAACACAGAATCTTAAATTCGACAAGTCCAAGGTGCAGAATTAACGCAACTATGTAGAAATTTGTAAATTACCTTGAAATGCAGGGAAGCAGTATGAATGTTTAATTTTTGTTTAACCTTTTAGGCTTGCTTTTTGTACGCCAAATTACATTTGTCAGTTCAGGCAAATTCATTTATGCTGAAAGGATAGTTCTCTACTAGGTTGTTCTGATATCATCTACTGAGTATTGCAATGTGATGTCGAAGATTTCAGAAAACTTCTGTGGTATTTTGAATAGGTGTTGACCTGGTGAAATTGAGTGAGTATGTTTTACGCCGCTTTTAGCAATATTCCAGCAATATCACTGTGGGGGACACCTGAAAAGGGCTTCAGACATTGTGCCCATGTCGGGAATCCAACCCCGGTCTTTGTCATGACGAGCGAATGCTTTAACCACTAGGCTACCCATCTGCCCGACAGTCATATTGAAAAAAGATAAAACTAATAATAAAAAAGCCAAAGAAATACACTTTGTAACATACATTAAAACAGCCATGTCCCCCATAAACCCAACACAAATTTGAAAGAAATGATTCTACTTTAAAAACAACCTACAACAGCCTGATCCTTTCATTTTGCTATAGTTATTCTGTAATGACAGATTAACTATAGTAATATGAAAGAAATGGGTGGTCCCTAACTTTTTTTAAGTAGTATAAATAAACAGCAGCCGCTTTCCATGATAATTCATAGTTTTCATATACATCATAATCTAGAAATCGACATCAGTTTCAAAGCCCAATCCATTTCATTCCCATAACACAGAGCAAGCTTTATTCCCACAGATTAAATCCCCTACTGAAATTGACAAATGTTAATGTCAGTCATAATCTGAGATTCTAAGCTGACACCAACAAGACTATTGTGTATGTTTCCCAACAAATTCGGGATTATGGCGAAAGCAAGCTAAATACTTCAAGTCGGCCTAACAGACAGCAACCCGTTTGTTGCGAGGCCATGTGATGACAAGGTTTGAATGAATGGTACAAGTGTGTTGAGTGATCAGCTGCTGCATTATTGCATAGGTTTCCATAATCAGACCTCGTTCACTACCACTCCAGATATAGGCAATGTGATTTGCGGTCACAAGCCCTGTGGACAGATAATGTGGTTTGAACAGTAGAGATGTAACTGACAAACATTACATCATTCTGCCATGTCAGTGTCAAGATGAAACAGACTATTGTCATGAGAAGAAACTTTCCTACTTGACTCAACTTTCCCAATCAATGATGAATCTTTTTGTACAGCCAGGGCCCCATTCCATAAAGCAATCTTAGCATTAAGGTGATCGTAACTCCTATACTTTATCACAGTCTTTCGATCGTGGTAGAGCTGAGGTCACTCTGTGGAATGCAGCCCTGGCCAACATCATTTTAAGATCCAAAATACAATTTTACAAAAGTTATTTTCCTAGATACTACCTTTGTTAAAAGTATTATTATCTCTTAAGAGCTAACAAGTTGACTTAAAGTCAAAAACAGTTTCAAAGTAACTTTCAGAATTCCTGTTTTTTAACTTTACATCACTTTTCTTTGAAATTGAAATCAAATTAGTGGTGACATTTGAATTATTGTTTTTGCCTCCTGAATCTTGACAGTTTGGCATAGAAATAAGTAAAAGGAAAAATAAGCTAATTTACGTTTTTTTTCATTGAAAGTATTTGCACACATTCTTTGGAATAAAAATTTCAGTGACAGGAAACTTGAATCTACAGAACATGGCAGGCAAATTGGGGGAACACATGATCATAGGTTCCTGGCATGCCTAAGGGACATAACTCTGCACAGCAAATTGTGGCACTTTAGACTGAGCTAACCACCATGGTCCACAAATAATTCCAGGTAAACTGCCATGTAAGATAGTGGAGGTGCCTGTCAAACTGTCGTATTCATTGTACCTGTTGATGTTTGTTGCTTTTCACATTCGCAATACCAGTGTACTACTAACAACCTCTTTAGCCATCTGTTGTTGACAAACGCTTAGTCTCGAAAACTCATAATAACTACATTTAAATTAACAAAAATCTCCAGTAAGACAGGTTTTTATTTGTTTGTTGTTTAACGCCGCAATATTCCTATTAAATGATGGTCTGTAAATAATTGAATCTGGATAATCCAGTGATTGACATCAAGAGCATTGATCTACACAATTTGGATACGATGACATGCATCAACCAAGTCAGTGAGCCTGACCACCTGATCCCGTTAGTCGCCTTAAACAACAAACATGGGTTGCTGAAGACCTATTGTAACCTGGATCGTCACAGGTACCAGTGAGATTGCAGTTGAACCTGTGGAAAATCTAGACTTGCTTCATTTAAGGCTGTAACATCCCAGTACGGGCTGGGCGGAAATAATATGATTCAGGGCCAGTAAGACAGACCACCATTTTGTTTGCAAAAATATTTCCAGGCCACTTGGCATTATCCTACATTCCATGACACATCTACGACCATTCCTGTGTGACCAATATTCCAGAAGGTATGAGACCATCTAAAACACAATTCCAGATTCCAAACAATATTCATGATACTACCAGCAGTACGAAATTCAAACTAATATAATAAAACAAATCAAATTTCAGTCCCAAATTTTCAAACCATCATTTCATTAAACCATATCACCACCCTCAATATTACATTTGCATCGCAAATAATAAAATCTAACAGCTTATTCATTTGTAGGGGAAATCAATTCCGGAAGTTCCATCTGGTGCAGACTGGGCCAGGAGGCGCTGGTGATATCACCAGATTAACTCGGCCAGTCCCTCCAGGCCCTGTCCGTCTCTGGTACCTGGTTCGCTGTCATCCACACCTGCCCAGTATCAGCTGATAACCAACACGCTCATTTCACCGTTTTACAGGTCTATCTTTTTCGGTCAAAATTAACATTTTCACCTCAAGTTCTTTTGTTTTAATGGCCATGTTTACGTTGGCTGACATGTGAACTTTTCAAAGTTCATGTATTGAAAACTAAGTTAATGTATGGAAATATCACACCAAACGATATAAAAAGAAACTTGCCTTTTAAGTGATCACT